ATTATCGAGAAGATTTTGCTGCGTGATGGAATACATGGAACGAGGGGATTTACGAGGCTTGATGGACAAATACGAGGACGAGAACCGTCGGATAGGCTTCGACGCTGCCAAGATCACGATCGCGCTGCATGTCGCTCATGCTCTGGCCTATTTGCACTCTCGAGACGTTCCGGTAATTCATCGCGACTTGAAGTCGAAGAATATTCTGCTGAACGAAGCGCTGGGAGCCAAGTTGACGGACTTTGGCGTCTCTCGGGAACGCGTAGACAGAGCGATGACTGCAGATGTGGGTACGTCACTTTGGATGGCTCCAGAGGTGATGATTGGGAATGCGTACGATGAGAAGGCAGACATGTTTTCGTTTGGAGTGGTGCTGTCGGAACTGTCGATGCATTCCCTGCCGTACTCACACGCCAAGCGTCCCGGGTCGAAAGATCAATTGTCGCCGCTGGTTATTCTCCATCGAGTAGTGACGGGAGCGTTAAGCGTGGAATTTGCTGAGACTGGACCGCGAAATATGGTAAGATTGGGTCTGGCTTGTGTGTCCATGGACCCTACGAAGAGACCGACAGCATCTGAAGCAATGCGTGTATTGCACGCCTTGTTAATGCAGGAAGTATCAGATTAGTGCTTGATTTTAGGGACTTCAACTATCATTTTGGGAGTCAACATTTGAATAATTAATTTTTCGTATCAATCAAAGCTCTGACATATCTAAACAGCAATCTCTAGTGTATAAAACTGACCGAGTTGTAGCCGAGTGTAGTTGCTTCTTGCACAAAGGAGCCGTCGCCGACACAGTCGACATTCGTGGGTGATTCAGAAACAATTCAGATTTAAGTGATTAAAGGTGTTTACTTGTACATAACCATTTCACTTTTTTTAAATATTGGCGAAAATGTCAAAAATAGAAAGTAAAAGGACTCAAAACACTCCAAAAAAGCAATTTTGCATCGTGACTGATATGCTCGTGGTTAGCCTAATGCATATTGGGGTCTCTCACCCCATTTAATCGGTGCTGACACGTTTTCAACCTTCTAGAATATAAAAAAATGACTAGGATTAAAAAAACGAGAACTAAACATGGAGGATACATTTATCTTTCGGGGCAATTACGTTTTGAGGAACTAAAGTAAAGAATGTGGGTCTACGGCAGAGTAGAGTGATGCACTTGCAAAAAAATAAACGATCTACAAATGGTCGAATACAACTAAAAAAAAATTTCGGTGGCTTTAACATACCATTAATTTCATGTTTTACGGATAGTGCTTTCAAAATTATATAAAAAGGGTATCAATTTTACGAACTGGTTTGCACCAATCGGATTGTGTAAAGAGGGTACCAATGCAGAATTTTAGTAGCTACGCGAGGAAAATCGAATCCCTGAAATAGATTTCAGAGAATAATCGGTCCATTCCAATGCTTGTTGA